CTTTAGTGGAGAGATGGAGACCCGAGACCCATTCATTCCATCTCCCTTTTGGAGAGGTGGGAATTACGCTACAAGATGTTGAGGTTTTACTTGGATTGCCCGTTGATGGCATTCCATTGTCGGGGGGCACCAGTCGATCAAGAGATCAGTGGATTCAGATTTGTCATGACATGATGGGTTTTAGACCCGAACCATCTGATATTACATCTTCTACGATTAAGATATCTGCAATTGATCCGAAGGCGCTGACAGAGAATAGCGATGAAGTTGATTACCAAAAGCATGCTAGAGCTATCATGTTTAAGTTGATGGGTGGCAGCTTATTTCCCAACACGACGGGAAATAAGGTTAGTTTGTATCTGTTGGAGGTAATCATGGGTGACTCCGTGCTGGTGCGAGGTCGTGCCATAGGTGCTGCGGTTCTTAGTTTCTTGTATCGTAGTATGTGTCGTGCGAGCATGACTCATGTATCTCAGATTGGAGGGTGTCTTATTCTCTTCCAGCTTTGGGCATGGGAACGTCTGCCTATGACTAGACCTAGGGGGGTTGTACCATTGGAGCAGCTGGTTAATGTTCCATATGGAGTCAGGTATTTTCCATTTATTTATGTCTATCATGCATTTACTCAATTTATTATATTCATGTTAATGTTTAATCCTCCATTGGTAGATGGGTGTGTTATCATCGGTGGTCAGATTGTACGACACACTCCTTACGAGCGTACAGAGACCAGCTAGATAGGTTGCTCGAGGGAGAGGTAAGTACTAAACAAATCATAGTGTTATGCATATATATTATATTTTAAATGTCTATTGTATTCCTTTTTTATTTATGCAGTTTGTTTGGATGCCGTATCCGAATGTCAATACCTTACCACCCTGTTGTTCAGCCGGACTTCGAATATGGATTTCACGCATCCCTTTGATCTACGGTTATGTCGTGGAGATGTACTATCCGGATCGATTTTGCAGACAGTTTGGTGCCCGCCAATGTGTTCCTCTCGATGTTGTGTATGATCGACACCTACATAACATTAAGTCGACCACTATGGAGCTCGAAAACAATGAGAGACATTATTTAGGTGTATGGGAGGGACGTTACGCTGCAAATGTAGTGATGGAATTTGGGATGTCGGATTCCACGCCTGAGTACCGTCAGTGGTATTATCTCCATGGTCGAAGACAGATAGGAAACCCCGCACATCAGCCTGGAACAGGCTATGTCCCCATTTCTCCTGAGCTACAGACAGCCGTATGTATTACTTATATTCTGATTACTTTTTGTTATAATTTCTTATGCGACTAATAATGGTATTGTGTGTAGCTATCCTGTATGGCAGATTGCCATCAGCGCCTTGATCCAGGTAGGCACCCGGATGGTTTTGTACCCTCTCACGAGGTACTGCGAGGGTATGGGGTCAAACCATGGAACTGTTGTTGATTTACAAACAATGTCAACTGATTCACCAACTTCTTTTCAGTTCAAGTATGTATTCTGGTCCTTTAGGGCATCCATAGATGGATTTCACTATTGTCTTCCTGTTATTTCAGTAGATGGAACTCACTTATACGGCAAGGATAAGGGATGTTTATTACTTGCCATGGCAACGACGGGAAATGGTGAAATTTTTCCCCTTGCTTTTTCCATTGTTGATGCTGAAGATGGTCCAAGTTGGAAATGGTTCTTGACGAATGTCATGCGTCATGTCATTCCCCCACATCGTCGTGTATGCATAATATCTGATAGACACAGTGGGATTGAGCATGCATTTGAAAATGTCCCAGAGTTAGGTGGAGGTCGAGTGACTCAAAGATATTGTCTCCGCCACCTACGCAGCAATTTCTGGAATAAGTTCCGAAGTAAGAAGTTGCGGACCTTGATGTACAAAGCTGGTAAAGCCCCGAATAGAAGTGAGTTTGACCAGTTGCTACTCCAAATAGCATCCAAAAATCAAGAAGCCTACAACTGGCTTAATGCCATTCCAGAACACAAGTGGGCTTTGTCACATGATGAAGGTGGGTCACGTTATGGTATAATGACTACAAATTTCTCAGAAAGTTTCAATCATGTCCTTAAAGGATGTCGTTGTTTGCCAGTATATGCCATTGTGACGTTCACCTATGATAAGCTGGTCAAACTTTTCGCTGAGAGGCGAACCAATGGGTATGTATGGCAGCAATCCGGGTACAATTTTCCTATGAATGTGTGGAAACATATTAGGAAAAATGAAGAAAATAGGCTGTATTGTCGTGTTGTGCAGCACCACGCACAACAAGGGATATACTCTGTGGTGGTGGATGGGTCGTCCTACATTGCTCAACGGGAGACATTTACGGTGAACTTAAATGCACGAACATGTAGCTGTGGTCAATGGGTAACATTTCACCTCCCGTGCAATCATGTCCACGCAGTATGTCATTTTTGTAATGTCACCGTAGATCATTTGATTCCAAATATTTTTTCAATTCAGTCCTACATCAATGCTTACTCTGGCATCATAATGCCGCTACCGGATGAGTCTCAATGGCCTACTCCAGAGTACGAGATCTTGAGGCCAACACCACGACAAACCACACGAACCGACCGACGTACGAGAACCCGCTATCCGAATAACATGGACTATCGACCACGGAGACATCGTAATGAGGAGTAGCTTTGTCATGAATTTCAATTATGTCTTAGTTTATGTATTATTAAATTTTACAAATAAGTTAGTCATGGATTGTGTTTTGACTTCTTCTTTTTTATGAATAAATTGTTATATGTACTCTAGCAATAAAATTATTGTGTTTTGTCTTGTTCTTTTAATATCGTTATTTTAATAAAATAAAGTTAGAAAAATTAAAAAAAACTTTATAAAAATGGATTTAATTTGTTAAAAAGGTTTATAAAAGAGGAGATAAAATAACTAAAAAAATTTAAAAGGGAAAAAAATTGGAACAAAGCAACAAAACAGCTTTTAAAGAAAATTACAAAAAAAAATATATGTGAACGGATTAGGCTAATCCGTTTGGTAATTAAATAAGTGGAACGGATTAGCCTAATCCGTTTGGTTAAATAATCTACATCAAAACGGATTAGGCAAATCCGGTTGGTATTTTGGCGGAAAGTGCACTCCTAAATTACATATAAAGGAATGAGATGCAACGTTTTTACACAAACAGGGAAATTACCCGAGGAGAGCAGGGCGGAGCAAACAGAATGTCACATTGGACATACACAATCGGCAATAAATTTTTTTAAACATGAAATTAATTCAGGTTTTGTTATGAGATACTACCTCTGTCCCAAAAAGATTTACACGTTTTGACTAAAGTTGAAAATAAGGAAGGGATAATTTTGTGTTGACTTTCCAAAAATACCCTTGATGTGATGGGTAAAAGTAGGATGAGATGTATAGATTATATATTAGGAAAAAGGTATGATGTGATAGGTAGAGTTTGAAAAAGTAAGGGTAAAAATGGTTTTTTAATAGAAATGGGTAGGAGATTGTGGGACGCAATTTTTTTGAAAGGTGTAAATTTTTTTGGGACGGAGAGAGTATTTCTAATTCGTGAGAGCTTGACCTAAACAAATCTCTCTCACACAAAAAGTTTTAATGTTATTTGAGTAAATTCTATAATTGATCCTTTATAACAGGGGGGTTTCTCTAATTAGTCCTCTATTATCAAATATTATCCAAGTGGTCCTTCTTTTATGGGTATCTTTCCACAAATAGTCCTTTTTTTGGTCTTCAATCATGTTGCTGTTAATTTGAGAGCTTAAAGTCTAATTTCACAATGATAATATATCTTTTTTGTCATGCACAATTTCAAAGGCTGTTTCGTTTGCGTCGGTTTGTGAATTATACTACTACAACCATAATCTACAAATGTGGTCTTTCGTCAGAACCCTAGCCCACAACCATAGTCATTCTTTTTGTGTTATCCGCTTAACCAATATCAGAATACGTCACTAAACATAATGTTGATATCAAATTATACTTTTAGCCTTTAAATTAACACCAACACGACAGAAGATCAAAAAAAGGACCATTTGTGGAAAGGTACCCCTAAAAAAAGGACTATGGGGGTAATATTTGATAATAGAGGACTAAATATGGAAACCCCCCTATTATAAAGGACCAATTATGAAATTTACTCATGTTATTTATTTAAGAAAAATATTTGTGACACGTAATTTTCTCTTCTCTACATCATGTAAATGTGTATAATTTTATTTTTCTAAATTTCTAGAAAAAGTCAAACATGAAAATTTTTTGAGCAATGCTAGGGGTACACCGTTGGTGTACCCCATTTGTCCCTCACCCTTTTCTCAAACACTCATTTTTATCCCATTTTTATTTATTTAATTTTTTTTAATCTCTTGCCCATTTTTGAGGTAATGGAGGGGGTGGGGGACAAATGGGGTACACATTTGGTGTACCCCTAGTATTTTTCAATTTTTTTACTGGACGGAAAGAATAATATTCATACTATACTTTGAATATGTGCAAAAAAAATGTTTTCTTACCATTTCAGTTCTTAAGACTTCATTTTTATTAAATGTGTGTACGTCAATACCATACTCTCTACGTCCTAAAAAAGACTCATCATTTCTTTTTTAAAATCTCTGATAAAAGACCCTTCTACGTCTAAGTGGCTCACATTATTTCTCTCTTCTATATCATTTTCAACTACATATTTTTACTTTCTTTATTTTTTGTATCATGTCAAATCAAGGACCATTTTTGAGATAGAAGTAATGCGCATACCTTCAACGTAAAAAAGTAAAAATGTGAAATGACCATTGCCTAACTTATAAATGTACATGGACCAAAGTACAACAAAAATCATACTACGTACATCCTAATATATAATGGTATACTGAAACTCTAATAAAACATGCAATGTACTTTACTTGATTTCATTCCGCTACTACAAAAAAGAACAAATAAATTGCCCTATTTACATCGGTCAGCAGAATAAACAATTTAAAAGCTACAAAAAAATTTACCAACCACTTATCATTTAAATCGTTTATTCCTAATAACCGATGCAAAAGGGAATTTGCATCGGTTATTAGGAATAACCGATTTAAATAAGGAAACCGTTTTAAAATGATTGTTCCTAATAACCGATGCAAATACCCTTTTGCATCCGTTATTGGGAATAATCCTTTTGAAAGAGATTGTTAAATCACGCCTCTGATACCTTATCGTTATGCAATTTTGAAAAAAAAAAACCTCTAGAGCTTCGCCGTGCTGCTCCATCATTTCCGTAAACCTCCAAGCTTCGCTGTGCTTCCCCATCCTTGCCGTCGCCTGTCGTCGCCATCCCCTAGTGTTGTGCCGCCAACCCTTCGCAGCCATCTCTTCCGTTACCGTGCCCTCGACGTGCTCCTCTACCCTCGTCGTACCTCGCCTCGCCTCGTCGTCGCTCGTCTATCCTTCCTCGAGTCTCGCCGAGTCGCCGGTCACTGCCTTCACATTTGCTCGAGTCTTGCCGACCATCCCTTCACATTTTTAAGGTATTTTTTTAATTTTTCACTTTAAATCTTTAATTATATTATTATTTATTTATATATTTTTGTATTAGGTGAATATTTTTTTATTTCAAGTGGGAAATATATTTTTAAATTTATTTCAATGTATTTTCGTTAATTACTATATATTGAAAAATAACTACATTCCTATTTTGATATTTTTCTTATGTTTTACACTTAAGTTAGTCTTTTTCCTTTAAAATATGATATAATCAAGTCTTTTTCATATAATATTTAAATATTCTATAACAATCAAGTTTAATCTCACGAGAGCAGAAACCGGGAGAGTGTTTCTAATATTTATGAAGTACAAGTCTTTTGGTTTTATACTTATAATCAAACAAAATAATTAAAAACTAGTATCACACCCGTGCGTTGCACGGGTCATTTTTATGTTTTTGAACTCAGATCATTTTTCAGTGATAAAAACTGAAATGCAATAGAACTTAGTGTATATATAATTTCAAAGTACAGAACATCAATGTTTTACAAATTTCTAAAGACTTCTTTATATACTACATTATGTGTAGTATTTGTGGGAGTATCGTCTTCATTGCATATCAGAATCTTCAATCCACTACGATTAGTTACTCTTGAAACTGCAACATAGAGCTGTCCATGACTAAACACAGGTTTCCGTAACAGTAGTCCAACATGTTTCATAGATTGTCCCTGGCACTTGTTAATCGTCATTGCATATGAAGTAACCACAGGGAATTGTCTTCTTCGGAACTTGAAAGGAATTCTTGTATCGAACGGTGTTAATGATAGTCTTGGAATAACAACTTCTTCACCCATGTGGCTTCCTGATAATATTTTTCCTTGTATTGACTGATTAGCCAACCGGGTTACTATCAACCGTGTACCATTACACAAACCCATTGAATGGTCAATATTTCTCAACAACATAATAGGTGTGCCTACCTTCAGAGTTAATTCGTGATTCGATACACCTGAAGCACGAATCTTATTTAAGAATTCGGGAGAGTGTAGGTCATCAAAAAAACTTGAACTGCAATCCGAGTTCTCAACTTTATGAGAACTAAGGTATGTTCGAGTCTCGCTGCTTGGATTCATCGCTGTCATATATTCGTTTATGGAATCGACGACATCCAGTGTAGGAGCCAAAATTGCACGCTCCTGCAAGTAGCTCAGTTCGTTGGCTATTTTTTGAAATTTTGGATAAGTTGAATTCACTATAGTGGCTATTGGATCTTCAGAAGACGAAAGTAACATGTCATCAAGAATAATCACCTTAGCATAACCGTCATGATCATCACCTGCGTTCCCGTCACCATTACTCTGAATCCATTTGCTGAACTCATATGATTGATCATAACCACTGTCATGAATCATTGATTGCAGCCGCATGTTTTTCGTCAAACGCAACACAGTGCAGTCTTCCCAAATGTATGAAGAATTAATCGCTGAGTTAACGATGTCTTGTCTCGTTCCTTTTGGAATAACTGGCAAAATTTGATGAAAATCTCCACCAAAGACAATTGTTTTTCCTCCGAAAGTTTGTTGTTCACTCATCGGATTAGAAAATCGTAGAATATCGTGCAAACTTCTATCCAAAGCTTCGAAGCAATACTTGTGTGTCATAGGGGCCTCATCCCAAATGATTAATTCTGCTTTCACCAAGAGTTGTGCCAGCGGAGAGCCTTGCCTTATGTTGCAAGTAGAGTTTTCATCTGGAATCAATGGGATCTTAAAACGCGAGTGAGCCGTTCTACCACCTGGCAACAATAACGATGCTATACCACTTGACGCAACAGTTAGTACTATATCACCTCGACATCGTATTGCAGCTGATAATGTTCTCCAGACATAAGTCTTGCCAGTGCCTCCATATCCGTACAGAAAGAATACTTTGCCAGCATTTGTTTGAACAGATTGCATTACTGCTTCAAACGCTGCACGTTGTTCATCATTCAGTGAACGTAATAATCTGGTGTGCTCGCTTGCCAATGCAATTCGATCGTATTGCATTTCATCAAAAATCAGTCGATTGGCTGCAATCCAAATTCTTTGGAGGTTCGCTTGAGGCATATCTGTGTAATCGCGAAGGCTCTTACCACGACTTCTCAGCAAGTCTTCGAGATCACATAGAATATGGTTTTGTATCTCATCGTCATTAAGAATTAAACCTAATTAAAATTTATAAAGTGTTAGTCATATTGTTTTTATTTGAAATCACTATAAAATAAAAAAAATACCTTCATGATCCATCAAACGACGTTGCCGGTACAAAACATCATCTCCCATATACTTCCAACATTGCTCCCACACATGTCTTGGTCTCGACATTGATTCTGTCGTCAATAGCGTTGCAAATAAATTCCTTAGCTGCGCAGCAGAAGCCCAGTGACTTGCCTCCACGAATGCGTCCAGATATTCTCTATCATCGTCAAGCAATCCCAAAGCATAACATGCATCACGGTATGATTCATGAACAATGCCATTAANAAGAATAATAATATATGCGCATGCGGTAATCCTCGCTTCTGAAACTCAATGGTATAAACAACTGCATTCAAAAATAATTTTTAAGCGTCAAAAATTAATCTCTCGGGTGCAAGTGTTGATGTAAAGTAGGAAAAATGAAGTTAGTGTATAGTACCTGCACGAACTATTCCAAAAAGTTGTTGCTTGTGCAGTTCTTTAATGAGCTTATTTAATTTCATATGGAAAACTCTGCAACATTTATCCGGACGATCTTGAGGACTTAGATTTCTTTTTTCAAGAAATCGAGTGATTTCTGGCCACTTTGGATTGCATGTAAAAGTCAAGAATAAATCAGGATAGCCAGCCCATCGACATATTGCCATAGCATCTTGATAGTTCTGTATCATGTAACGTGCACCACCAACAAACGTTGACGGGAGAACTACTCTCTTACTTGTGGTCGAAGCATCAATGTCCCCATGGAGTAGTGAGTCTGACAGACAATTATACATCTCACACCGGAGCTTCTTCTGGTGGGTTCTTATCCATAATAATCGTAATGACTCCATCATGGTATATCCATCCACAACTATCTCTTGAAAAAGCTTTCTTGAATATAAAATGAAAGGATTTTCATTTTTGCGCTCATGAAATCTAAAAGCAAGAAACTCTCTAATGCTAACGTTTCTTCGGCCCCCACTACCAATGCTTGCTTCATTTGAAAATGGAATGTCCTCTCGATAACCATCATCACCATAGGGGAATAATAATGGATATTGCAATCCTAAGTATGCGGGGTTCAACTCGCTTATGATCTGAGTAGATCCACCTAGGGTCTCAACCAATATGTCTCGTTCCCCTAACGATTGATCAAAATCACCAACGACCAACGCAGCTACCTCTGATGCAGTTGGTAAATTATGTCTTCTAGGGTCGGAGTTTCGTTTACATATCAACCTCAGTCAAATATTCGTGCACTGAGTTTCCATTATTTTCGTGCGAGCCATCCGAAATGATTTAACCAAAACGTTATGGTCATCCAACATTTGTTGTAATTGCTCAACCAAATTTCCTCGCAACGTGCTAATGTTGTCGTCTTTCCTATATTTAAAATGATAGACATTGTTAGCATATGTATATATTACATGATCAATATGTGTGTAATAAGCACATTGGTGACTTCAATATATTTCAAGTATAACATCAGTAAACGACATACCTCACAGCTTTCATACGGTTTAAAGTTTCATTTTCTGTATCATGTATGTATAACTGTGCAAATCTGGGGAAAACACCACTGCTTGGAATCAAAGAACCTATCATATGATAATTTCTACCACCAAGTTTGTAGACAGGCGGAGACCTTCCACGATTCACATCTTTAATGATATCTCCTTTTGTCGATGTAAAGGAAAACATGCAGTTGTATGAACGGATTTTTTGTTGAAAGTGGCGGCTCGTATCATCTGTTCCAGTTAATAGTTCCCATAACAGATCTGGCGGATTTTTAACAAAGGCCACTTCAATTTTCCCATGCTTACACCAAGAGCCATATCTTGGTTTATTCTTTTTTGATCGGCCAAGAGTACGCTCTTCATACCAAAAATATGACATACATGATTCACATTCGTAAATAGGATCTCCAATGTCCAATTCATTGACATCATTTCTGAAAGATGATGCTGATTGAACTAAATTAGTCCTTAACGGAATCGTGTTCAGATCTTCACCCTCATTGTCTCCATCAAAGATTGGATCAATCACATCATCATTGGGTTGTGTACCATCAAAAGACGGGTCAAATGACCAACGCTCGCCAAATATTTGAGTAATAAATGAACTATTTACGGTTGAACTCCTTGAACATTGCGAGGCCCCAAGTGCGTTTGACGCTGTCATTGTGCATTCTGCGAAAGGAAATCATCATAGCTATATTTTTATTGAAAAAATGTGTAATATATAATTTTGATCAATGTTATAGTGATCATACCGCGAGTAAGATTTGAAATGGATCTTGTTTCATTCTGAAATGAAGAGCTTGCAATGTCACCGTCTGTTCGTGAAATTGTTTGAGAAGAATCATATCTCGAATGTACTGAGCGGCCAATGTCTTAAATTTACAAATGTGAGAAAATATCAGCTCAAATAAAATAAATTTTCTTGTTAGTGTGAAAAGTGTTTTAATATTTAATTCTTATCTTTTTCAACAAAATTCCTAAAAGTGTTTTAATTTTTAATTGTTATCTTTTTCAACAAAATTAAAATTTAATGTATCTTATAATAATTTTAAAAAAATAATAATTGACAATGTTTGTAATGTTTAAATTTTGTGAATTGTGTATTAAAGTATGTAGTATATTTTCTTGTCCCAAATATATTTCCAACAAATGGCCCAAGTAATATTAAATAATTTTCGGCCCAAAACTTAATGGTTATTTACTTATGGACATTTCAAAAGTTGGTCCAAGTGATACCCATATCCCAAACCAATAAAATATATGGATTACGTAATCCAGAGTCTTCTTCGCCGACCCCTCTCTCTCTTCTACGCATCTCTTCGGTTTCTTCAACTCCTCTTCATCTTGTTTGTAATCAATTGACTCCTTGCTTCTTCAATTCGTAATTTTTTTGGTCGGCGAGGTTATAGAATCGTATTTCTAATCCCTCAACGCGTTTTATTTCTCTGCGGGTCATGTTTATAATTTTTTTTTTGATAAAAATTCATTTTCCTCGTTTCGTTCTCCAAAAAATCGGAAGAATGGTTTTGGACTGGAGGAGAAAAAGTCAGGGTCTGCATCATCCAGTGCTCAATACTAAATGTAAGTTAAAGATTTAATCTACTTTTTTTATATGAAATTAGGGCTAAGTCCTCAATTATTTCTTTTTGATCGGGAATTTAGAAATTGGTAGAAATACTTGTCGTAATTTTGATATAATTATATCATAACGATTTATTGGTATTTTTTTAAGTATTTCGGAATTTGTTATAATAAATATAAAAATTTAAAAAAAATCACAGTAATAAGAATAATAAAGAGACCAATTTGTTTATATGAGGATGTTCCAGATTTATTTCAATGTATTTTCGTTAATTACTATATATTGAAAAATAACTACATTCCTATTTTGATATTTTTCTTATGTTTTACACTTAAGTTAGTCTTTTTCCTTTAAAATATGATATAATCAAGTCTTTTTTCATATAATATTTAAATATTCTATAACAATCAAGTTTAATCTCACGAGAGCAGAAACCGGGAGAGTGTTTCTAATATTTATGAAGTACAAGTTTTTTGGTTTTATACTTATAATCAAACAAAATAATTAAAAATGATTTCAATCAAATATCGTAAATCAAAACAAAAAATAAATGTATAAGAGAAAAGTATTTAAAAACTAACTACAATCCTATTTTGATACTTTTCTTATTTATGTTTTACATTTATCAATTGAATCTCATGAGAGTAAGAATTGGGAAAGTTTTTCTTATATACAAACTACAATTAGTTTATGATTTTATACTTATAATCAAACACAATAAATTAAAAATGCCACTTTTTAAATCAAAATGAAAGCAAAATTTGTAACGGAAAGAGTAATTTTTTACATAAAAATAATCACACGCCAAATTTGGGTTTTATACTTATACTAAAAAATGAATTAAAAATGATTTCAGTCAAATCTTGTAAATCAAAACAAAAATAAAATTTATAACGGAAAGAGTATTTGAAAAATAACTACATTCCTATTTTGATATTTTTCCTATGTTTTACACTTAAGTTAGTCTTTTTCCTTTAAAATATGATACAATCAAGTCACCTCTTATTTAATAGATTTTTTCATATAATATTTAAATATTCTATAACAATCAAGTTTAACCTAACGAGAGCAGAAACCGAGAGAGTTTTTCTAATATATGTGAAGTACAAGTTTTTGGTTTTATACTTAAAAAAAATAACTAAAAATAATTTCAATGAAATATCGTAAATCAAAATAAAAAATAAACAGAAAAGTATTTAAAAAAACTAAAATCTTTTTTGATACTTTTCTTATGTTTTATAGTTATCAATTGGATCTCATGAGAGTAAGAATTGGGAAAGTTTTATATATATATATACAAACTACAATTAGTTTTTGATTTTATACTTATAATCAAGCAAAATAAATTAAAAATGACACTTTTTAAACTAAAATGAAAGCAAAACTTGTAATGGAAAGAGTAATTTTTTTACATAAAAATAACCACACTAAAAAATATACAGCTAATAAGGGTTTGAAGATCAGCTTTCTCAAAACTTCCAACTACTAACCTAGGTTAATGGCATAAATTTTGAGGTTGTTCAGGAGAAGAAAGAATTAATCTCAAACTCACAACATATGCGAGCAACCCTTTCATCCAGGTTTTTTAATTCCACTTTTCTTACTAGTGATTTATCGGTGTGGGAATGTTTTCTTAATTGATTAAATTATTTGTACCTTACGAATGCTGACATGAAGTTTATCCCATTGAGCTTTAGGAGAAACTTTTTTACTATGTTTGGGATAATGCTTGCTTGAAGGTTTTAATTTGTAACTTTTTTTATTAGTGCACAAACCAATATTTTTACTGTATTTGCTAGAATTTTGTGATGATTGGCGTTAGAGTAAATTTTCAAAATGATCCTCTTTTATAAGGCATTTTTCTAAATCAGTCATCAATAAGTTCTAATCATCTATGTGGTCTTTTATTGTTGAGATTTATTCTTTAGAGTAAATTCTCAAAATGATCCTCTTTTATTTCTCAATCGCTTTTCATGCTCTCGAATTCTAGAAGAAACACAGACAAATGCATATTTGCAGCTCTTTGGTCGTACACACAAATTTTTTTAGAGAGAGGGATAAAGGACGATGGCAGTTAGGCACGCTCGTCGAGATCGATGACAATTGTTAAGCATGCACATCGTTTGTTTTTTTGAGAGAAAGAGATGGATAATGGACGGCGGCTGTTAGACACGTCGTTGAGATCAATGGTGGCTTTTAGGCACACACATAAATTTTCTTAAAGAGAAAGAGCTGGATAAGGGACGATGATGTCATGACCTGTGGCGGTTGATCGTAGATGGAGAAGACCGGGAGTGGTGCACGGTCGTTGAAGAAGGGAGGCTAGGTTTTTTAGAATAGATACCTTAGCCCCGGTATCATATTAAATAATGGAATAATTGTATTACTCAAGGAATAATGACAGAGTATATATAGAGGAGATTATTATCCCAACTGGAAATATGAATCAATAATAGATGCTGACTAAAATACAAAGACTACCATAACTAATACTATCATTTTTATCATCATTATTATTATTATTATTATTATTATTATTATTATTATTATTATTATTATTATTATTATTGTTTAACAGTTATGTCACCTTTTGTTTCGTAGAACTTTTGATGTAGTCTTTAAATATGTAAAATTTATTTTTAAATTCCACCCTAATTTTCAAATAAATTTTCTTGGAAATAATTGCTGTCAAACATTGTAAACCGAAACAGATAATTTAAATTGGACAAAAAAGAGTACTATAATACACGATATTGACTACAATTATTAACAATGTAATTTTTTCAAAATTCAAGATACTTACTCCCTCCGTCCCAGAGTATTTGTCCACTTTCATTTTTATACACCATTCAATACACTTCTTTAATCCATTTTATCTTGTAATTTGTATATTAAAAAATTATAGAAATTATATATTAATAATCTATATGTTAAGACAAATCAAACAAGATCACACATGACTATATTTAGGCTTACACATTGAGAGAATTTGATGATGAGTCAAAGTGCTTAGATGAACAATTCTAAAAGTCAAAACTGGACGAATACTCCGGGACAGAGGGAGTATATCTTTTGAGTAAGAGTAGAGTACTCTTTCTGTCCCAAATTAAAATTTCTAGTTACTATTCACATGCCAAACGAATTCTTTTTTGTTTATATATTTTCATCGACCATTTGATAAAATAAAATAACATTGTCATTACTTATTTTGTAGAACGTCACACACCCTCCCCAGACCCTACTGTAGTGGGATTCAACTTGTTTGTTGTTGTTGATGATGTAGTTTTCTAATATGTAATATTTATTTTTTAATTCTACACGAATTTGGTAGTTATATTGATTTGAAAATAATTTCACTCAAACATCGTAAACCAAATAGGAGCTTTATATTGGGAAAAGGGAGTATAAAAGAGTTATATTTAAAATTAGACTCCCTCCGTCCCAAATTAAATTGCGTGTTCGCTATTCACAGGGTCAAACTTCATTCGATTTCTTTTTTCATTTTCGTTAGTCATTAAATAAAATAAAATAGTCATGTCACCACTAGTTTTGTAGATCTTTTAATTTAGTATTTTAATAGGTATAGTTTATTTTTTAATTCTACACTATTTTTCATATAAAATAATTTGAAACTAATTTCAGTCTGATGGTGTAAATTACTTGACCGGTCAAACTATACTAGACCGGGTCTAGAATAGTTGGCACGATTCAGTAAAGTAAAGAAAGTAAAAACACTCAGAATGACCGGTAGGACTTTAGGTGGAACACCTGTAGCCCGAATTATATTAAAACAGAGAATGCACGGTCACTTTTACAAGGGAGTTTAGAGAGAGTGAATTCGGATCCCCCTTTCTGAGGTTTACACGAGTACTTATACTAGGCTAGGGGGGGGGGGGGGGGG